TCTCAAGTGCTTGGTGGGTGTCGATCAAATGTAGTTGACTCCTCCGATTTTCATCAAAAGATGTTTCAAATTTTCCACCTTGAGTATTGACAACATGATCCACATGAGTGTAGATGCCTTGAAACATGCTTTCCATTCGGTCAACAAGGCTTAGTACTACTTTCTCCAGATTTTCCAATTTTTCCTTTGAGGTTGTGCCATCAATGTCTTGCTCTTCTCGGGTTGTGGGAACACACCTTGCTCCTTTTTGAGCAGAATTGACTTCAAGCATGTGAGATTGTGCTTGATTTTCCACTTGATATCCTTCTCTTTCCGGTGTGTGTAACACGTGCGTGTCACCTTGTGCACTTTCTGAATGAATGGATTGAATTTCCTCCGTGTGTTGGCTTACTTGCATGGAATTTTGATCTTGACTTATTTCAGTGAAATTCAAAACACTCACATCATATAAGCCACTGTCCATTAAATGTGCACCACATGTGACATTTACTTCTTCTACATTCCTTGTGACAAATTCATCAATGTCAACTAAGAAATCGTCTTCCGTAGGCATATCTCCTTGGACTGTGACATCAACAGTAGCTTCGGCCAACTTAGCTTTCAATTTATTCACAAATATTCCATTCACCGTAGACATCAAAGTTGCATGGCCAACATCAAAATTACCAATCCAATTCAAGGAAAATAATTCTTCTTCTTGCATACTCGGTCCTTTTGTCATCAAATCTTGATAAGAACCAAGTCTCCATTTTCTCCAATTTAAGACTCTTCGGTATTCATTCACTAATACCAAATCAAGTCCATCAACTTGATAAATTTCCTCATTCATTATTGACTCTATTTCGGCAATTTGGGAAAAAGGATTCAATAAACTTTGGCTTGTGTTTGGATTTTGGCTTGTGTTTGGATTTTGGCTTGAGGTAGGGTTTTCATGGGATTGAGTTGAGGGTTGAGAAGATAAACCAAGAATTTTTACAATTGGCCTTTTCCTAGCAGGAATGCCTCTCGGTTTCCTTTTTCTCTTGGAGGTCAAATCAGTTGATACTTCATGATCCTTAAACAAAATTCGGTTACTTCCAAAAGGCTTTCTTGATCTCATTGGTAAACCTTTCATTTTTATAATTTCACCAATAAGCAAACCGAACCCTAGGATGCGGTTGAACTTCCCATTCCTAATTTTCGCACCTTTCACAAAATGTGCAATCCGGCTCAAGATAAGTTTACTCCAGTCACCCCTAGCTCCATTCATCACAGCATGCAAATATCCAATTCTCACGGGTGATATATCCTCCCTACTATTCAGTTTGCACAATACACATTTATAGAGAATTCTAACTAGCATCTCATACTCAAGCTTCAAATCAGATTTTTGACCGGAAAGATTTGGTTCGAGAGAAGCATTCTCATTCCGAATTTCTGTCCAAGTTTCCGTGTGATCATATGTGTGAACATCTAAGTCCAACAGTGGTTGTTCTGGACTAGATATAGGCAGTCCAAAGGTTGTGTGCAACTCTTGTTCATCAATGGTGATGAGAGTTCCATTCAAGGTGGACTCAATGGTCCATCCAACAACCTTGGCATTCACATAAAAATCTGCTACATCTTCATCATAAAATCCTGAGTATGGATAAGAATATAACCTCATGAGATTACTTTGTTGAAGTGCATGGATGATTCTTTGTGCAAGATGTGAGTTCTCGGCTTCTTTGAGAAATCCTTGAGGGTCAAAACTTCCTCCGGCCTTGATTCCAACTGCTAGCTTCATGAGGTTGAGTTGTGTAGAGTGTTCTTCATTCGGTTGAGAGCTTGAATCTCCAATGGTAGCCATAATGTGCTTGGTATTTTTAGAGATTGAGGGATTGAAGATTTTGAAAGAGATGAAGATTGAGTGTTTCGACTATGGAAGATGAAAGGATTTTGAGAGTTTTGAGTGTAATAGTGGCTCTTCCAACCGGTTGGGTGGAAGAAAGGTGTCTTTACACAAATATCCTCACAATTAAATGTTGAATTTAAATAAGTGAGGGGTATTTTTGATATTCCAATAGCTTCCAACCTTTGACCTAACTGATAGTTAGTTTAGGTTATATATTCTCCATCCAATTTGTCTGCTGATGTGGCGCCAAAAATTTAGATACTCGGACTGATTTTACCTGAAATAAAATTCATGGAGCACTAAATCTGTTCCGAAAATAATATGTATTTATCTACACGTTTTATGTAGATGGAAGAAAGAGAAATCTATTCTTTCTAGACTATTTATTATGCACAACTACCATAAAAATGTGTTCTTATTTAAGTCAACTTATCATCATACCATCTTGTCACTCTTAAATGGTAAGATTGTGTAGATATAAATGATTTTTATTTGTGTATATATGTATGTCGATACACGGTTGAAATAGAGATACATGCAATTGAGATAGGTAGACTTTAAATGTAAAGATGTGACAACTTTTGCATGTGTGACACATAGGAACGAAATAAAATTAGATAAAGTATCAAAATTTCAGATGAAAATTGAGCTTATAATTTAAATAGAGTTTAGAGACTTAGCTCAATTCAATCATGCCCATCTCGTGTTTTAATATCGAAAATCTTGATTCACACAGAGGCTTTGTGAGAATATCAGCTAATTGATTCTCGGTCGGGATGTATTCGATTGATAATTCCTTCTTTTCAACATGATCCCTGATAAAATGATGTCTCACATCAATGTGTTTTGTTCTTGAATGTAACACGGGATTGTGAGTTATAGCTATGGCATTTGTATTGTCACACATTATGTTGACATTTTCACAATTCACGTCATAATCCTTCAGCTGTTGTTTCATCCAAAGAATTTGCGCGCAACAACTCCCAGCAGCTATATATTCAGCTTCGGCTGTACTCGTGGCTATAGAGTTTTGCTTTTTGCTAAACCATGATACCAATCTTCCCCCTAAGAACTGGCATGTCCCTGAGGTACTTTTTCGATCGATTTTACATCCTGCAAAATCTGCATCTGAGAAACCAGTTAGTGTAAAATTACCTTCTTTGGGATACCATAATCCCACATTGACCGTTCCTTTTAGGTATCGGATGATTTTCTTGGTAGCAAGAAAATGACTTTCTTTTGGCTTTGACTGGAACCTGGCACATACTCCCACTGAATAAGATATATCTGGTCGGCTTGCAGTGAGGTATAGTAATGATCCAATCATTCCTCGATATTTTGTTTCGTCAACGTCCTTGCCTTCAACATCTTTATCCAATCTTAAAGATGTGCTCATCGGGATCTTGATTGAGGATTTTCCATCTTGACCGAATTTCTTTACAAGATCTTTCGTGTATTTGGCCTGATTGATGAATATTCCTTCATTGAGTTGCTTTACTTGTAAACCAAGAAAGTAGTTCAACTCTCCCATCATGCTCATCTCGAACTTATTCTGCATTAGCTTGGAAAATTTCTCACATAAAGTTTTATTAGTACTACCAAATATAATATCATCGACATAGATTTGTACCAATAAAATGTGATCATTTTCTTGAATTCTAAACAAGGTTTTATCAACAAGGCCTTTTGTAAAACCATAGTTAATTAGGAACATTGATAGAGTGTCATACCAAGCTCTCGGTGCTTGTTTTAACCCATATAACGCCTTCTTTAATCTGTAGACCTTATTAATATCACCTTTTACCTCGAAACCGGGAGGTTGCTCAACGTAGACTTCTTCTTCAAGTAAGCCGTTCAAAAATGCACTTTTCACGTCCATTTCATAGACAGTGAAATTCTTGTACGCGGCATATGCTAGAAATATTCTGATGGCTTCCAGTCTTGCAACGGGTGCAAACGTTTCATCGAAATCTATGCATTCTTCTTGTGAATATCCTTTTGTCACTAAGCGTGCTTTATTTCGTATGACAATTCCATCCTCATTTGCTTTATTCCGAAAGACCCATTTTGTTCCAATTACATTGTAATTTTCAGGTCTTGGAACTAATTCCCATACGTCAATTCTTTTAAATTGATCGAGCTCTTCTTGCATTGCATTAATCCAATCTGGATCACTTAGAGCTTCTTCAATGCTTGTGGGCTCCACCTGAGAAAGAAAACAAGAAAATAAAGTATGTATATTTGAGGACCTTGTTTTTACTCCTTCTCGTGGATCTCCAATCACTAGCTCTGGAGGGTGATTTTTGAGCCATCTCAAGTCAGGTTGTAGGTTGCATGGGCTTTCCACGTTTCCTTGTTCAGTCGGTAAGTTGGAGGTAGACACATTTTGCTCATCAGATTGTTCTCCAACTTGCATTTCAACTTGAGAATTTTGATTTTCCACGTGTGAATCTCCATTGACTTCCACGTGTCCTTCACTATTGCAATCAATGTCCAATTGCTCCATACCCTGTACAGTTTGATCTCTAAAAGATATGTCAGTATCATTAAATGATTTTTCAACTTGACAACTTTCCTGATCATTTTTGTTGCTCTGGGTTTTCTTCTTATGAGCTTCACCAAATGTAACATGAATTGATTCCTCTACCACCATTGATTTCTTGTTCAATACTCTGAATGCTTTGCTGGTAGATGAATATCCTAAAAATATTCGTTCATCTGCACGCTCATGATGAGCATATTTTATACCTTGGTTTAAATAAGTTTTACTGGTTAATTTTATTATTTATATTTTATATTTCATTATTATTAGTATATTTTGTTATATTAGGATTAGATAATTTAGTTAATTAAATTTAAGTATAGTTAAACTTATATTAGTTATTATATTAATAAGTTGAGTGGGCCCATTAGATAATTAATTAGATAGGTAATTAAATAGGTAGTTCCAATTTGTCTCTGGCAGTACGTATATTACTACTTTATCTTTGGTTTTGTTTACGCAGGTTGCAGCAGCGGAACGTACGGAGGGAATGCAGAAGGGGCTTCGGAACTGCGACGCTTATTTCGGTTTACTCGCGGATGAATTTTAAACAAGATTTTTGAAGATGAAAGCTGGTAGAGAAAGATGCGGTAAGAGCATAAATTTTAGGGAAGATTGTTGATTTGGAACCCTATAAAAGGAGAGCTATTCTGATGTATTTTGGGGCAGATTGTTCCTTTTAAATTCTTAATATTTTAGAATAGTTTTCTCTATGTCTAGCTAGATTCTCTTTAATCTGATTCAAGGGATTTGAAGTTTCAGTTGTAAATTTAGGGAGGTTCTATTTCAATAAATTTATTGGACTCATGTACTTCCTGCTCTTTTAGAGTTAATTTTACAGGAAGACTGATAGTAAATTAAATTGACAACTTACTTTATTATTGTTTTCCTATTGCTATCTTATGAGTTTATGATCCGTAATTGTCATAGATGATTAGACTGAGTAGTTTGTATTAATTATTTTGCTTTAATTAGCATATAAAGGCTAGGAAGACTAAGTTGCATATTGTAGCTATCTCAATATGTAATTTAGGCTTAGTTATTTTCCATTAAAGTGTAATGACGTTATTGGCTGAATATGGAACGCTATCGTTCCCAGTTCATTCAATAATAGTAGTTGGTTATAGTAGTTGGTTCGAATGCTTGGTTTGAATCAGTTAATTCAGGGAGATCAAAGGCTAGCTATGGCTATCCTAATTAGTCTTTGGCTAAGTACTTGAATCTAACTTTAATTTTTAAGAGCCGATGATTTGAGTCACATCTTTAAAATTCATTTTCCCTTGAATCAGAATTCAACATCTCTGAACTCGTTATTAATTATTGTTTATTTTATTTATTTTATTTATTCTTCTCAAATCCCCCAATTTTCCCTACTTTGAGTCATTTTATTTAAATTAAAGAAACGAACTCATTAGTTCTCTTGGGATTCGACCTGGTCTTGCCACTACTACAAATTAGTGGGTTGAGCCAGTATTGAATTTGTAGGGCTTCGACAACCCTGCCAAATTTTGGCGCCGTTGCCGGGGAACTAACATCGTTTCTTGAATTTTTTTTCTTTGTGATTGTTTCTATTGTCCTTAGTGTTGCATGACTCATTCCTCTCATTCGGGATAATTACAATATATCCCTGAGATTGAGAAAGTCGCAAGGCAACTAAGGAAAGAAACAAAGCAAAGAAATAGCTCCTCGAGTTCTGAAGAGGTAAATTCAACCTATGATCCAGTAAACGAGGAGGTTGTAAGTAAAATGGCTGAACCAAATAATAGAACACTTAGGGAGTTAGCTGCACCGGATCTAAACCAACAACCTCTATGCATAACAATACCAAATCTTGAGGTTGATTTTGCTTTAAAATCTGGTTTGATTCTTTTACTCCCTATTTTTCGAGGTTTGGCTGGTGAAGACCCACATAAACACTTGAAAGAGTTTCAAGTAGTTTGTGCAGGTATGAAACCACGTGGGGTGACTGATGAGCATATAAGTCTTAGAGCATTTCCATTTTCATTAAAAGATAAAGCAAAAGATTGGCTCTATAATCTTCCCCCCGATTCAGTTAACACGTGGAATGATGTGAAAAAACTATTTCTAGAAAAATTCTTCCCTGCATCTAGGGCAACTAATATTAGGAAGGAAATATATGGGATAAGACAATGTACAGGTGAAACATTGTACGAGTATTGGGAAAGATTCAAGGAGTTGTGTTCTAGCTGTCCACACCATCAAATCTCAGACCAACACTTGATACAATACTTTTATGAAGGGCTGTTACCTACAGATAGAAGTATGGTAGATGCAGCTAGTGGTGGTTCTTTGGCTGACAAGACACCCACGGATGCTAGACAATTAATATCAACCATGGCCGAAAATTCTCCACAATATGGGACACGTGCGGATGGATCTATTCGTAGAGTTAACGAGGTAAGTACTTCTCAACTTGAAAATATAATTTCAGATTTGACTACTCTTGTGCGTCAAATGGCTGTAGGACAAATGCAATCTACGGGAGCATGTGGAATATGTTTATTTGTCAAGCATCCCACAGACATGTGCCCAACATTGCAAAATCCAAATCAAGAGTTGAATGCAATAGGGGGATTTCCTGGTCAACCCAACCGAAAATATGATCCCTTTTCAAACCAGTATAATCCCGGATGGAGAGATCATCCAAACTTGAGCTATGGGAATCAAGGAGCGCAACCAAGGTTTCAAAATCAGAATTTTAGACAATTCCAAACACCTCAGCAATCCTAACCTCAAGCTTCAAATTCAGGTATGTCTTTAGATGAAATTGTTAAAGCACTTGCTAATAACACTCAACAGTTTCAACGAGAAACAAGAGCAAGTATTCAACAATTGGGCAATCAAATTTCTCAATTAGCCACATCTGTTAGCAAGTTGGAAGCCCAAGCTTCGGGGAAACTACCATCACAAACGGAGGTAAACCCTAAAGAAAATGTAAATGCAATCACATTGAGGAGTGGTAAGCAACTTCAGCCTGAATCTCCATTATCAGTGGAAGAGGAAAAAGAAGGAAAATCAAAGGAGGAAAGTGAGTCTACGGCTAATGAAAAATCCAAGGTAAGTTCTGAATCTTCTTTTGGTCAATATGATTCATCTCTACCCCCTTTTCCTTCAAGGTTAGCAAAATCAAAAGAAGAAGAACATGAAAATCAGATTTTGGAAACCTTTAGAAAGGTAGAAATCAACATCCCCTTACTAGAAGCCATAAAGCAAATTCCTAAGTATGCAAAGTTTCTAAAGGAACTTTGTACCAATAAGAGGAAGTTGAAGAGTAAGGAGACCATCATATTGGGTAAAAATGTTTCAGCCATGATAAGTAATGATCTACCTAAAAAGTGCAAGGATCCAGGTATGTTCACCCTACCCTGTATAATTGGTAATAAAGAGATTAAACGTGCCATGTTAGATTTAGGTGCATCAATAAATGTCATGCCATTTTCCATTTATCAAGATTTAAATATAAATTCTTTGCAAGGAACTAGAATAATTGTTCAATTAGCCGATCGTTCTTGTGTGCATCCAGTTGGAGTCGTAGAGGATGTTTTAGTGCAAGTTAATGGACTGGTTTTTCCTGTTGATTTTTATGTTTTGAAAATGAATGATGATGCAATAGATCAATCAACTCCAATTCTGTTAGGTAGACCATTTATGAAAACTGCTAAAACAAAGATAGATGTTGATAAGGGTATTCTTTCTGTTGAGTTTAATGGAGAAATTGCTAAATTTAATATTTCTGATGCAATGAAGTATCCTACTGAGTATCATTCTCTTTATAATGTGGATGTAATTGATTCAATAGTGCAAGATGTTTTTGAAGATAGTTTTGCTGAAAATTTGTTTGATTTAGAAGCTGAATTTGATTTAGATGAGTTTGTTGATTCTTCTTGTGAAGTTTTATCAGCTGTAATATCTGGTTTAAATTCTGCAAATGCTGATTTTTCTTTAACTCATGAAAAAATGTTGCCATCTGTGTTGCGGGCTCCAACTTTAGAGTTGAAAACTATGCCTGATCACCTCAAGTATGTATACTTAGGTGAGGGAGAGACATTACCCGTCATTATCTCAAATAAGTTGTTACAGGAACAAGAAGATAAGTTGGTTTCACTGTTGAAAGAACACAAAACTGCAATGGGTTGGACTTTAGCTGATATAAAAGGTATAAGTCCAGCTGTTTGTATGCATAGAATCCATTTAGAAGAAGATGCCAGACCAGTAAGGGAGCCACAGAGAAGACTCAACCCAACATTGAAGGATGTGGTATTTAAAGAAATTCTTAAACTTTTGGATGCAGGTATAATTTACCCGATTTCTGATAGTGAATGGGTAAGTCCAGTGCATGTAGTTCCAAAGAAAACTGGTATAACTGTGGTAAGAAATCAGAAGAATGAATTGGTACCCATGAGAGTACAAAATGGTTGGAGAATGTGCATAGATTTTAGAAAACTGAACTTAGCTACAAGAAAGGATCATTTTCCTTTACCTTTTGTTGATCAAATGTTAGAAAGGTTAGCTGGAAAATCTTGTTTTTGCTTTTTGGATGGATTTTCAGGTTACTATCAGATAGCCATTGCTCAAGAAGACCAAGAAAAAACTACTTTTACTTGCCCATTTGGAACATTTGCATTCAGGAGGATGCCGTTTGGCTTGTGTAATGCACCAAGAACATTCCAAAGATGCATGATGAGTATTTTTTCTGAATTTATTGAGAGTTGCATAGAAGTGTTTATGGATGACTTTACTGTTTATGGTGATTCCTTTGAAGTGTGTTTAAATAATTTGTCTAAAGTTTTAAAAAGATGTATTGATGCGAATTTAGTTCTGAATTATGAAAAATGTCATTTTATGGTTAGTCAAGGAATTGTGTTAGGGCATGTAATTTTAGCTAAGGGGATAGAAGTTGATAAAGCTTAAGTAGATTTGATTGTGAACTTACCCTACCCTACTAATGTTAGGGAAGTTCGTTCTTTTCTTGGACATGCAGGATTTTATCGCAGGTTTATTAAGGATTTCTCAAGGATTGCTGTCCCCTTGTGTAAACTATTGCAAAAGGATGTTACTTTTGAGTTCGGAAAGGAATGTCAAGAAGCTTTTGACAAGCTTAAGGCACTGCTGACAAGTGCTCCTGTTATTCAACCTCCAAACTGGGAACTCCCCTTTGAGATTATGTGCGATGCCAGCAACTATGCAGTTGGAGCTGTTTTGGGCCAAAGAGTTGGGAAGCAAAGTCATGTCATATACTATGCTTCAAGAACATTGAATGCTGCACGATGCAGTTACTCCAAAATTGAAAAAAGAACTTTTAGCTGTTATTTTTGCTTTAGATAAATTTAGATCTTATTTGCTTGGTTCTAAAGTCATAGTTTTTTCTAACCATGCGGCATTGAAGTATCTTTTGGGAAAAAAAGAATCTAAGCCCAGGCTGATAAGATGGGTTCTAGTACTTCAGGAGTTTGATTTGACAATAAAGGATCGAAAGGGAACTGAAAATCCGGTAGCGGATCATCTAAGTAGATTGGTAAGAGATGAGGATATACTTCCTATTTCTGAAAATTTTCCTGATGAGCAATTGTTCCAGTTGTCAGGTATGGTTCCTTGGTATGCTGATCTTGTTAATTACTTAGTGACGGGAGTTTTACCTGGTTACATTAGTAAGTCTAGGAAAGAAAAAATAAGAAGTGAAGCTAAATATTATGTTTGGGATGAACCATATCTGTGGAAGTTTTGTGCTGACCAAGTAATAAGACGATGTGTGCCTGAAAATGAACAACAGTCAGTTTTAGCTTTTTGTCATAATTATGCATGTGGTGGTCATTTTAGTCCTAAACGAACTGCGAGAAAAGTGTTGGATAGTGGTTTGTATTGGGAAAATTTGTTTAAAGATGCATACTTGTGCTGTAAAACTTGTGAAAAATGTCAGAAAACTGGTTCATTATTTCGTAGGAATGAAATGCCTCAAATTCCTATTTTGATTATGGAGATATTTGATGTGTGGGGCATTGATTTCATGGGACCTTTTCCATCATCTTGTGGCTTTCAATATATTCTATTAGCGGTTGATTATGTGTCAAAATGGGTGGAAGCAAAAGCCACCAAAACTGATGATTCTTCCGTAGTTGCAGGCTTTATGAAATCTAACATCTTTAACAGATTTGGAATTCCGCGTGCTGTTATAAGTGATCAAGGGAGTCATTTTTGCAATAAAGTAATTGAAGCATTGTTCAAGAAGTATGGAGTGCATCACAGAACAGCTACAACGTACCATCCCCAAACCAATGGGCAAGCTGAAGTGTCCAATAGAGAGGTAAAATCCATTTTTGAAAAGACTGTGAACACAGGTAGAAAAGATTGGAGCTTACGCTTAGATGATGCGCTATGGGCTTATCGGACAGCTTACAAAACTCCGATTGGGATGTCCCCTTATCGGTTGGTTTTTGGAAAAGCTTGTCATTTGCCAGTAGAGATTGCACATAAAGCCTATTGGGCCGTACAACCTTGTAATATGGGAATGAAGAAAGCTGGTGAAGAAAGGAAATTGCAGTTACAGGAATTGGAAGAGTTGAGGTTAGATGCTTATGAAAATTCTAGAATATACAAGGAGAAAACCAAGATGTTCCATGACAACATGATTTTGAGAAAGAATTTTGAGGTAGGCCAAAAGGTTTTGTTATATAATTCTCGTTTGAAGCTTATGCCTGGTAAGTTACGTACTCGTTGGATTGGACCTTTTGTTGTTTCTAACATTTTTCCTTATGGTGCAGTAGAGATTAAAAACATTGATACAGGAAAACTTTTTAAGGTTAATGGTCACAGGTTGAAACCATTTCATGAGGGAATGGTAGTTTTGAGTTTGGAAGATGTTGATTTAGCCCTCCTGGAGTACTTTAATTGATAAAAACACATTTGAGGTTACATCGGGCATAACGACGTTAAACGAATGCGCTCTTGGGAGGCAACCCAATTCAATAATCTGTCTTTTTCTTTATTTGTTTACTTATTTTTATTTTTCAAATAAGTAATCTTAGAATATGCTCAAATTCTTTGTGAATATGTGAAGTTTTTATGTGTGCATACATTGAGGTCAATGCATGAATTAAGTGTGGGGGAGAGTGTTGCACACTGATTGTGGGTAAACAATGGTAGTATATGACTTGATGACTTGTTTTGATTACTTTCTTGTTATTTAGGGATATGTCTTAAGTTAGGGTATATTTTTGGTTTAGAGTTTTAACACATGAGAGAAGCAAGCATGATTTTATTTTTCTTTTATACAAAAAAAATTATATTTTAAAAATTCTTGTTAGTTTTATTGAATGAAAATGAGCAAGACTTGATGCAATTTGACCCTTTTTGGTGAGCTTTTGAGCCTAAAGAGCAACACTTTGCTCAATTTTCTTTGTTGTGTGATATCAAGCATGGCTTGTTTATGTTAGAACTTGCTCTTAAATGCATTTTAAGACCACATTCAAGTGGGTTAGAACATGAAGATGAAAAGGGCACTTAGGTTGAGTCACTTTTAGCCAAAAAGCTTACTTTACATTTTAACTCTTAGTGAGCCACTTTGAGCTTTTAGCCTTTCTTTTCTTTTAATTACCACATTACAAGCCATTTTTCCCTTTCTTTGTTAATTTCCCTCAATAAATTTTGAACCCTTGAATTGAAGGAATCATATTGGTCTATCTACACAAAGTTTTGCTTGTTCTTATGGGCAATAAATTGTTTACTGTGGGTTC